CAGGTTCATGAAGATTAATAACAGCACCCTCCTGAGAGTGTCTGGGGACTACACAGACTCCTACGCAGCTCCAGTAACCTCTGCTTGTTCTTCTGAATTCTCACTTCACTTTGTTTCCTCCCTCTTACTTTTTCATGTTTCTGCTTTTTGACCCTCTGTCCCTTCTGTTTGGATAACAGCTACTCCAGCTTTTCCCTAGCTCTTGAACCCTTTCTTCTTTCCACCCTTCACCTCTCTACACAGTTACACATCCCCTTTGTTATCTCCATCTTTCATTGTTTCGCTGTTTGTCTGTGCAACGAAATCTGTGACTCTCCATTTGCAATCAGATGAAGTGTTCCAAAAACTCTGACTGTCACTTTGAAGCCCAGTTGCAGACTTATAGTGTGGTGTGCTGCTCTGGGGATGTATCACACACAGATGAGGGGAAATGCAGACTCTGTCTAATGATCAATAGATGGAGACAGGAGAGCATACTCTTGCTCCAGGCACAGAACTTGGTAATGTATTCACTTTCTTACTTAAATGTTTCCAGCTATCTTTTTTTTTTGTATTAACATATTTTAATAATACCCAAGTATATTGTGATGCATTAACAAATGCAAATGATAGGATTGAATGTAAGGTTATTTAAAGGATATATGCAACAGAAAAAAGAAATGAATAGAAATAATGAGAAAGGGGATTCATAAAATGTGCCCTAAGTTCCAGCCCTAACGCATGACTTTGGCTATGAGGCTGCGAGTCTAAAATCATGAGAGAAGGATAAGAGGTAACAGAGGGATCTTGTTTCATGTTTTTGGAGCTGCTATACCAATTGTTCATAAAACAGTTTTGATAGATTTAGATAATTTCTGTTAGAAAGCTTGTTACCAAACAAACAAAATGTCTGTTCCAGAGACTGGCAAATGCAGTTGCAGTGAGTAGATCTGCAGTGAGTCTCCACTGTAAGACATTTAATAGTTTGTCATGAAATGATTCAGAGTTTTTTCATTCTAATACTCTTACAGCTGGAGTCATAGAAAAGAAATGGGATTCACAGATCAAGCTCAGATAGCAAATTTTTAGAATATCATCCTTAAATAGTCAATACATTAATAAACATATTGGTAGGCAACTAAATGCTAGTGAAGTAATAAGAACTGTGCAGGAAAATTAAACTGCAAACTAAAAACCACTAGCAGAATACTTAGGAAAATCAACCTTTCTAGTCTCTAACGTATATAATTATCAAGCCTCTAAGTATTGGAAAATTTAATTAAAACAGATGATTACCCTTAAAGTCATCCTAGTCTCAAAACATGAGAGAGGAGGAAGTCCAGTGCAGAAGTCCACACAGAGAAATAAAGCACAGAAAAGGTTAATTTTTCAAATACGGAAGAGGAACCCAAAATTTTACCTGTGCATCTCTAGAATGGCGGTTGTTTTACAAATTCTAGGTCTGTGCTTCTAAATACCTATGTGCATTTAAATGTAAGTACAGGTTGTAGAGCCAGAGAGATCTCTATTGTCTTATCTGAAAATACCTGGTCTGAGAGACTAAAGACTGAGCAAGCTTTTGCCACTGGCTGCTTTTTGACATTGTCCTCAGTCATTTCATTATACACAGTCGAAAACATTTTAGTAAAATTGCATTTTGTTGGAATATATAATTTTATTGATTTATTCTAATCAATTCAACTTATTAGTTTATTCAAAGTGTTATGAGGAAGGTGTGCCAGGTAGGCAAGTGGGCTTTCCTAAAGTGTGGCAACTAAAATTAAGCTAAAATTCTTCTGTTAAATAAGCAGAATCTTTCCTTAGGCTGAAGAGTAATTATAATTGGTTTTTTCCACCATTTATTCTCTACAGTTAAATTACCATCAAGCAGTTTATGTCTCTTTGCATTTGAATTAGGTGGCAGAGTTGTCCGATTTGAAAATGTGACTACAATAAATGAGTTTCTTTTCAATAGCCAAGCTATGGGAAAAGACGATTAAAGTGCCACGTGGAGTATTTTAAGAAGCATTTTAACAAGGCTGTATCCACATTTCATTCTTCTATTTTTTTGCATAAAATACCCACTCTATATAGGCTGCACAACTCCCTTCCTGAATTACAATGGCAGGAGAGAGTTGTTTACCATTCCCAGCTCTAAAGCTTTCCCGCTGTATGGGGGCTGATTGGTGTTTATGGCTGTTTGCAGAACAGCTATTTAATCAAATAAAACAGACCCCATTCCCTGCTGAATGTAAGAGACGGAGAGATATCCATCCCAGGGGCTATATCAAGATGGGTGGAAAATATAATGCATCTGCTTATCTATCTACTGGGTTTTTCATTACAGATGCATTATAAAAGTCTGTAAGTACCAAGGGGTTCTGGTCATAGCATCAATCAAAGAGCAGAAGATTGTGTTGTTTTATCACCCTGACCTCAGAGCAGGATTTCTTTGTAATACTGTCACAGTTTAACCCCGGCCAACCCCTAAACCCTACTCAGCCACTTGCTTGTTCCCCTCAACGTCAGGATAAGGGAGAGAATCAGCAGGGTAGAAGTAGAAAAATTCATAGGTTTTGGCCTCAAGTGCTAAAATTTTGCTCAGAGAATGTCAAATTATTATATGACTCTCAGAGTCCAAATATTGTGGTTCACAGCATAGTCAGGAGGCAACACACAATACTGTAGGTGCAGATTGGGCAGGTGTAAACAGCAAAGGCAGGAATGTTTTCTCACAAAAGGAAAATGTGAGCATCGGTTAATGAATGTTTGCAAAGTGCTTTCAGTCCTTCAGATTATGCTATTATTAAATTGAACCTCTTTGATTATGCTATGGTTGTGCTGAAAGCTAAATGAAGGAGATGGTTTTCTTTAAACAGTATCTTATTCTTGATTAGAGCAATCATTAAATCATTTTAGATTTAACAAAGTGAGCAGCAGATGGAACACAACAAAGAGAACAGAACAATATGAGATTTCAGAAGATAATAAAAGTAGGCAAACCCAGAAGTAATTCAGAAGAGCTCATACCAAAATTCTGGCTAATATAATGACATATAACCTATGTTTGTGAATCACGATTGTGGAAAATACTCAGGGTAATAATTTTTCTTTTTTGGCTATATAGATACCAATAGTGATCTTGATTTAGAGAATCATACTTCTGAATACATCCTCTCGTGTGGTGGTGAGAGCCTCTTCACATTATGAGACACTATAGTGATTTTGTGGAGTGGAAGCATCAGCCAAGCATGTAACTAAAGGTCACATAAATTCTTTGTATCTGATGGATTTTACTGCGCTTCTTGCTGTACCTCTCCCTTCCCAAACTGGCATCCCATTTTTCAAGATCTTGAATCTCCCTATTCAGCCTCTCAGCAGCTGGCTTCTCCACCTTCCTAGAACATCCCATCAGAGGTTTTCCCTGCCTCGTATCTACCACACCCTTTCTCATACCTTCAGAGGTAATTTCTCCCTACATTCAACATGAGAAATCGTTAGCTCAAATTTGGCATCCATTGAAAGCAGTCAGTGGTAGACTGCCTCAATTTTTATTTCCCACTAATTTAGGAGCTGACTTAACTTTTCCAGACCTCATGAGCAGAATTACATGAAGGGAAAATCTCATGACAGCAAGAATTACTTTACATAACATTGTATAACATCCAGATCCATTCCTAGCTGAACGAAGGCAAATCACATCCAGTAGCAGAGAAACTTGCAGAAGGTTTGTTTTGAATTTCTTTCTAATACTAGTGCTAGGCCTGGTGGAGTGTCTTCACTCCCCGTGGAGTTTTACATAGTACACTTTTTGACGGATACTGTGTCAAATTGTATTGTATCCTTTCAGGATTTATATTGCACACATTCTATACAGCTTTCAGTATGTTGTATTTATTACTACTCTATACAATTTGTAAGCTATGAGGTGTTCCTAACACCCCATGACAAGTTTTATGTACATTCTGTGACTGCAGTTTTGATCTCATCTTTATCATATTGTTCTCAATTTGTAGATTTCTTTATTTTTTATTATGGTTTTGCCATATTTTTACAGTCTGTGATTTATCTCAGTTCATTCAGCTCATACATTGCTAGACCTAACGTCTGATGTGTGCCTTACGTAGGTACAGAGTCAGACCACTGAATTGACTATTAATTATTCACTAGATGCCAAGTGTAAATGCCTGTACTGGGCCTTAGATTCCCATTGGACTTACATTATTCAACTCCAAAGAAATTGAAATATAACAAAAAGAGTAAGCACAACTAAAAGGAAGTTTTAAAAGAGACAAGAGAAAATATAATTGTGGTTTTATCTTCTTCAGCTACCATAAAATATGTTCTTCATAGATATGTCATACATAAGATAAAGGAGGATATATTTTCTGGCATTGTGTTTACTCTGCTTTCTTGTGTACATCTTGTGAATTAAACTTTTTCTAAAATTTAACATGAATGGTGTAACAACAATGATGCTATATTGGACTTGACATAGATGTCCATTCATAGGAAATATGTTTTCCATTTGTGTCTTAAGGGATCATATTTTCAGAAGAAGAGCCCATGTGTGTGCAGTTGCATTGTGTATGATGTTTTAATATAACTAAACACAGAAAGGAGCTGTATCTGCACACAGAGCACTGCACAGCTGCAAAGCTGTTTGTGTGGGCTGTGTGTGCAGAGGCAGGCATATAGCACTTTTCCTGAAAACTTGGTCAGGCATATATCACCAATGTGTCAGAAGTTGAGTAGCATCCCTTATAATCTCCCTTAACAAGTGAAGAAGAAAATTTTGTTCATTGTTTTACATTTAAAAATCCATACTGAATGAATGAGGAGTGTGCCAATAATATAGACCTGGGCAGAAAAAACATTATTTTTCTGCTCTGGCAGTCAGTTAAGGCCTTTCTCCACCCTTGCTGCTGTACTGGCAGCTCACATGTTCCCAGGTGCAACAAAGTACTCCAGCTTCTCTCTAATTTTTTGAAAGCCAGAGAAAAACTGCTGTTCTTCCCCACTTTTAGTATATATGTGTTCAACATGCTATCCCTCTCATGGTAGAGTCCTGTAAGAGAAGTTATTTTTAAGTTAGGTAATGATATAAATGTAACTAACAAGCAACATCAACTTAGATATTTGTTCTTTACATAGACAAGGTCCAGTCTGTTTTTCAGTAAAATAAATAACACAACACTGAATGAGAGTACATTTCCTAACAAGGTAGGGGCCTTCAGCAAGCCATCCCCACACGGATGGTAGGTGATACCTGCTACACATTGGATGAAGTGCTAGAATATCGAGTTCATGATTTTGTGATGCTATTGTATTTTCCTTTCCCGTTGTTTGGTGTTAACTAATGAAATTATTTCATTCACTGGATAAGATGTTTACTGATGTACATGATTAGCTGGGCACTTAGCTGTCCACACTGCATGCACAAATACCTGATTTGCTAGTGCATTGTCTAACTGAGAAAATCTCAGTTGATGTTCCTGATTTTAGGTGAAATGCTACTTCATTTTGAGAAGGCAAATCAGCTGATTGCATTGTATCTTCATGATTGAAATTGTTTACATTCCATAAATATTTTGACTCCACTTTTCTCATTACTTATCTCAAAGATGCCTCGGCATTTTTATTAACGTGGTAAGACTAGAACAAGTACTTGATTTTAACCCAATTGTATTATATTTTTGAAAAGAACACCAGTGACACAGGGTATACACATCAAACTCAAATTAACAAAATAAATAAGACTGGGTGACTAATTAATTGCATTGTATGTTTACCAAAGAACTATTCTTGTTTATGACGTAATCAGATTTCTCAGTGTATTTTATCCAAGTTTGAATCTGAGAGGCTGGAGCAACACATAAAGAGACATAAGTTTCCGTGATTTATTAGACTTGTGGGAAATCTAGAGTGAAGTTGGAAATATAATTGCTTATTGTATTAATGATTCTATTTTTATATGTTCAGATTTTTATAAAATACCTACAAACATAGATCAAGTAAACCAGAGTGGTTTGTCATTAGAATAACTGAATATTAGTAATGAAATATTAGAGTAATTGAAACTGAAGCTGTGTAATGATGGAAGTATTTTTATAAAACACTGTTTAGCTTTAAAAGCACTAAAATTGTCAAAATGTCTTCATAGTATATTTCTATATTGAATTATTACCTCTTTTTGATCAAAATATGGTTTTTTTCATTTTGAAATATTAATCCATTGCAGAGAAAGTAATTCAGGTTGAAGTCAACTTTTTGGAATAAAATATTCTCCAGTTTGGATTTTCTTTACTGGTTTTGGTCTCAAAATTTGTGATACTTTTCCTTAATTCAAAATCTTCAGATTCCTTGTGCAGAAAGGTAGCTAGTTTCTATCCAGCTCAATTTATCACTTTCATCAAGCAAAATTTTTGTGTTTAACATTACCTCTATTGAGTTTGTGTCAAGTGTACTGCCCACGAATTTCTGTTGATTCCTGCTTCAGGAGAAAGAAGGAATTAGAAATCTTTCATGAAAAATATGAGTCCTGAATGACTCCTCCAGCACAAGTGACTGGTTTACAATAATAATATATTTTTTTTAGTTGATGTTTGGTGGCTGTTTCTCAGTTTTGTCAACTGTAAACTGACTTCTGCCATTTGAGCTGTAGTGTGGGCAGGTCGGGATGAATTAGAAGCAAATATAATGGGAGTCTGTGACCTGCACTTCATTTTTATTTACAAAGGTGTGCAAAATGAATGTTACAGCCTTGGATAAATGGAAATGCCTGTGCAGACTGTAGCCAGAGATTAACTAGTCTGTGTACACTTGAAGGCAAAGGCTGTAAGTATTTCACTCTATAAGGATGCAGAAGTCCAACTATCACCAGAAATTAGAGTTGCAGTAAACATATAAAATCCTTAGTTGGACATGAAAGTACCCAGATGCATGTTACACTGTTTTGGGTGCTATCTGAACTTGAAATTCTTTCTGGATACTTGTTTCCGTCTTTATTTACCTTTGTACATATAGAACTTGAGTGCCTGCTCCTTTACCTGGATTTGCTCTGCCTGGCAGTCTTTAGTTGTGCATTGTGAATGACTGTAACAGTAGGCTCTGTATTAACTGTTTTACACAAGGGAAACTTCCTAGTTTGTGAGCACAAAATGGGCTGTAAGCTTGCTGCAGGGAGGGCAGCAGCAGAGAGAAGCTGGCTTTTAAGACTTACAGGTACCTTATGTGACAATTTTTTCTATTGTGTGATCTTCTCAGTTGTCTGCATGGTGATAGCAAGAAGGCTGTCTGAACTAAGTAAAAAAATGAAACTGCACTGGTCTTCTTCCCCCTCCCACAGCTCCTAATGTTTTCCATGGGTCCCGAACTGCAAAAGACCTGAGGATACAGGAGTGTTTATTGGTGCAGCATCAGCCATCAGGGCTGCATGGTCAGGAGAGACTGACCTGCCTGTAGAAGACCTGATCAGGCTTAAAATGGTTTCTTTAGCTGCAGATACTGTAGACCAGAAATACCTGTGTGGAGCTTCTCCAGAGTGCTTTGATGGAAACAGTCCACAGCACCAGTCCGTGCAGAAGCCTGAACTTACAGTCTTCTGAAAGAAATACTTAGAACCACCCTGCCATATCCCATATTGAAGTCTTAGGGAAAGGGCATGTCAGGTGTCACTGAAAGGCCAAAACTTGAGGGAGTTGTGACAAATCTCAGTTTCACACAAACTGCTGCACTTAAGGCGAAGATTCACTGCTAAAGAAGATGATAGGTGGTTTCATGCAGGTTTTCCAGAGGAAGAAGCAGGTTTTGAGACCACCATAGTTTACATGAAAGCGAACTGATGTGGAAGCACTGAGCCTCATGATCCAAACCTGTTCCTTCCTGCCCCACCCCAGGCTGGTGCATGTTACCAGCAGTTAGTGTTTCTTGTCTCCTACAAGGTATCAGATTGAGGGGAAACATGCTAAATTGTTGTGCAGTGTAATCTCAGAGGGGGAAAAAAAGAGAGGCTGGGAACCATTTCTTGTGGAGCTTCAAGATACTGGGTCTAGATTTGCTGTGCCAATCTGCTTCACCCAAATCTGGGCAGGAGATGCTTATCAAAAAGAGAAGAGTACAATGGTTCAAAAGAAGATAGTTAAATTTTTTTGTGTGAGTAGTGGGACATCCTGAATCCTATTACCACTATGAAAGTCAGAGCTCATGTACAAGGAATATAAAAAACTGAAAGATAAGTCAGTTTCTTTAAGTTTCTAAAATGAAACTATTATTTCCAATGAGCTTTTACTGAAGAATTCTTCAGTATCACTGGTAGTTTTGCAAAGACTTTTCTTGTGGTTAAAGTTCTTTTTCAGATGATGAATGGTTTTGATGAGTAGTTTTTTGACTTTTAATGATTTTCTGATCCTTGCAGTTGGTATTCAGTGTGTCTTTGAATAAGGAATGACGCCCAAGAATTACAGTTAGATTGACTCTGCTTTTATTCTAAAGAATGGGACAAGAACCCTTCAGTGAGTGTCATACTGGATTGATTTAATTTAAAGAGGGATACTGCCTCTCTAAATTCTCTGTTAAACTTTTTCATGATAGTTTAATCCACAAAATTTTACTTTTTCACCCAATTGTAGAGTATTGATCCATGTACATTTCCTCATTTAAATGTTCTTTTATTGGAATTAACTGCCACAAAAATTTGTCAGAAGAGAGAACTCACTTTATCAACATTTAGTTTAAATTTGCCTCATTATAGACACTACCACTTGGTTACCACAGATCTAATTTTCTGAGGAACCTGAAGTGCTTTCATATAATTTCTGTATATGACCTTCACTAGTGATACCCTTAAAATAGTACGCATTACTATCTGAAGCACTTAGTTTTCATAAAATAAATGAGAAGCTGGCATTAAAAAAAAATGCTTCCTTACCTTTCAAAGGTCTGCTTTGCTGAGATTTTTTTTCTGTTGGTTTTGGGGTTTTTTTTGCCTCCTGTTTCTCTTCTATCTGAAATTAATGTTTGTGGTGGAGAACCTCTGGTTCAGCTGCATGTCAGTGATCATGATGGTCTCATGCTTTTTTTAGTGCTTTGCTGTGATCACCTGAAGAAGCAGCTGGTTTTGTTCTCCCACCACCTTCAGAAATGCACCTTCGATTGGTCTCCACTGTTTTGCTCTGCTTGTTATATCCTGCCTTGTAACTTCCAAGATACATTTAATTGCAATGGCAAAATGTGAAGGCACTGAGCACTGGGAAAATTCTGACACGGAGGTGCCCTCTCATTACAGAGCTCTCATACCTGGGTAATTCTTATTCTGGACAAATTATTCAAGGTCTGCCCAGTGTAACAAGTGAACATGTGATCATGAGACTTTTCTCAAGAAGTTGATGGCAGGTTGCATATGAGGAATTAATACTTTTCCTGATTAAGTTTTATGTGGAGCAAATAGACATGCCATTCAAGCTGACATGACAATGTAATGTAAGATAAACTTCATACTGAAGGGGAGATGAGGCTGGGATTTCTAACCTCTTCTTTCTTCCTCTAAGCTTCCCAGTGTTTCATTTCCTGCTGCTGTTTGCTCCTGGGCACTAGCTCAATAATGCTTTTAGAAACTATTCCACACTTTTCTGTTTGAATAAGTACAAAGAATAACTTTCAATGTTTGTCAAATAGTGCCCCTTGAATTTAAATAACTTTCTGTAGACTCTGCAAAATGACATCCTAAAGGGGGAAGGGGGGATTATTATTATTTAATTAACTGCTTGTCTTGATGATTGAGAAGAGTTTTCTATATATATATGAATTTTTATTCTGTGTTCTAATACCACCATGGGAATCCAGCTCCTGTCATGCACTGCAGAGAGCTGTCGGTCAGATTCAGATTCAGATTCTCTGAGTGCATGACTGCATTTCACTCTTAAGTTATGCAGATAAGCCACATGTCCTGGACTGCAAGGGAGTGTGGGGCAAGAAGCTCCAAAATTTTACTTTGGGTGTACAGAAAGATTACTTTTGAGAGAACTGTAAATTAGTGGGATCTATTCAACAAAGCTGAAAGATTCGAAGATTCGAAGCTGTGAGATTTTATTTCACTGGGATACAAATAGAAGTTAGCTAGATTTGTGCCCTTTGTGAAAAAAAAAAAACAAGACTTGAAACCTTTGTCCCCTGAGGAAAACAAATTAGCAAATGAGAATTTCTCTGAAGCCAGAAGATCTGACTTCTGCTTCAGTCCATAAACAGCAACTTCACTGGCCTCTTGCAAATGGATTATGGAGATCAAAGTGTTTCCATTTCCTTCTGCTGAAAAAAACCTCTCATGAATGCCATCAAGCTGTTTGCTAACATCTGACAATGTGAAAATCTAGATTTAAGCTTCCACCACTGATTTTATCTTTGCCTTTTCCCATTTTGGAGTATGATATCCACATAATGTATATTAGCTCTCATATATTTGCAGAGGTTCATTCAATTTTCTTCCCTCTTCTTCATTCCTCGTGTAATTGCATCCTTAGTAAGGCTGTTTTGGAGAATGGAGCACAGCCCTCTGCAGGCTGTAGCTACAGCACTCTTGCTGAACATGCAAAGAATATGTCAAAAAATTAATTTACGTATTTATATGTACCCAAGTCTTGGGTCTACAGTGGTGGGCATAGGTCTAGCTAGCAGCATTCGATGGTGTTTTTTTCCCCTGTGTAGTCAGTGCAGTGGAATGGTCTGTATTGGAGAACATGACCCTCAAACTGCTGTATGGAGCAGGTGAAAGGTGTACAGCAGCTGGAGAAGAAAGATGGCACCTGACTCGTGATGGAAAGAAGTAGAAAAAGCATCATCACTGTGTCTCCAGGCTGTAGGCACAGGATGTTCAGAAAATGGGCTTCATCAACATTATCTAATAATCTTCAGATTTTCTTCCAAAAAATTATTATCATTTCAATCAGTTGAAACTTGAGATTTCCCTGGCCTTAAAAGTTCTGTTGTTTTTATAACAGTTAATACATTTTATGTACCATGAAATATTTAAAACAGTTCTGCAGGAAAAATAACTGCCAGCTGTTTTTAACCTGAAATTTATTGTGTCATTTTTTTCTTTTGTGAGGATTCTTTGTATTTCTTTTATAGCAGAATTTAAAATACAGAAAAGATACTATCCAAGAATTTAAGTATGAAAAATTGCAGTAATTGGTTGCTGTTTATTTACAATTATTTTTTCTGAAACTTATCATCTGCTAGACCTAGAAATGTGCTTTAGAATGCCAGAATTGTACACAAATACATTATTCAACCTACTCTGCATGAATGGGTTAGCTGTAAGAAGAAATACTACCCACATCCGTGTTGGCATAAAATATGTGCATATGCAACAGTTTAATGGCTTTAAATGTTTTTCTTGTATAACTCAACTAGTTTTTGGTGGAATCATCAGAGATAAATTTTAACTAATATCTACAGACAGTAGATACAGGACTCCAGTAAATAAAAATTTTATAAATATTCAGTGATAGAAAATAGAAATAAAACAGCCCTATAGAAATAGTTTTAACATCTGTGTACTGATGATCCTTATTCTGTGTAACAACTCTTTTTACAGGAACTCCTTCAAAATTGCTCACAGAACCATGAAGTGAAACCAAGCCTTTCTGTATAGTACCATACCTCCCTGTTTCACTTAATGACTGGTGTAGTGCATGAGTTCAAAATACCCTGATGAACAACTAACAGGTTCAATTTTGCCTGGGTTGTGGTTTTTTTTTTCCCTATGACAGTAGTTATCAGATACTCAAAAAATCTTTTTAGCCCCTGCCACACTGACAGGCGGGATGCCACAGGGAAGGAGACCAAAGTGTCAGTTCTCCATGCCCTGGTGGACTGGAAAGCTGGGATTGCTGCTGAGTCATAATATGCCCTCCTCCTACAAACGCTTCCGTGGTGATCCTGGGCTGTGTGGTCATATGTGAACAGCATTCAGATTTGTCACCATCCTGAAATGTTATTACCTCTACACAAAATGACAATATAATGATGAGAAAATGTAGAATCAGGGATGCAGTTCTTCTTAGAGCAGTGAGCTACAGGTATTACAAGGAACTGTTTCTTTCTCCAAGAAGATTTTGCTTTAATTTAGCTCCCATAATTGGCTGAATGTAAGCTCCTTAACTTCTTCTCATAATGCAGAGCTGGAATTTTTGCTGTTCATTTTGAGGCCCAAAGTAGAAGTCTTCAGCATAGCTATTGGAAAACTGCAAAATATATGCTTTCCATATTGAGAGGGAGAGAGAGAAGGACGTAAGTTTTGATTGACATTTTGTTCTGGAATTCCTTTGTGATTTTGCAGAAAGCATCATCCCCCCCTTCTCACAGTATAGCTACTCATTTGTAGGCGTAAAACTGTGAAATATCAGCAGTGTTCCAGATATGCTATACTCTAGCAAAATTTTATTCTTAATTCTTTAAGCTAAAACCTCTTTTAAGCTGTGTGAAAGATCCATGGGCAGACAGTTTAGACTATGATTCTCAGAAGAGTATACTAAAAAGGAAATCACATACCTCCAGAGCTGCCAGATAAATGATTCTCTCTTAGTGAGACAGGTGTTTTTCCCATACTTAAAAATTGAGAATTGGAGACAGTTCAAAAATAGTGTCACTGCTAATGGGAGGACCGAACTGATAGATATTTGCAAGGAAAGATTAAAGAAAGCTATATCCACCCCAGCTAAGTAACAGAAAGATCCATCAATAATTGAAAGGTGTCAGCACCAAAGTGTATTTGGAGCTGCAAAAATAAAAATACCTAGGAATGATGTAAGAAAGTTATTAAAAAAATGAGTAAAAATGTTAGACCAAGAGTAGTTCCATAAAGAGAGGGATTACAAGCATTACAAGGATTACAAACTTAGGTTTGTTCCATGGATTTGAATTCCTTAGATTTGTAAAGGAATAAGGCAAAAATGCTAAAAAGTATGTATTTTAATGCATGGAGCAACCATGTGTTGAAGGTAGATGACTGGAATGATCCCTTCTGACTCTTCAATCTCTTTTGTGCCCCATGCGCTTTAACTGAGGCTTACTGTGATCTTATCTATGAAAAGTAATATCTTCGTGGGAACCTGAACTGTGATATTATCAGGTCTGCTCTAAGGATCTTATATATACCACTTCATCATAGATATTATTGACAGTAAGTGCTTTTAACACTTTATATATTCTCATTGTGAGTTGTTTTACAGCAAGGCAGCCAAATCAAGAGAATTTTTCCTGACCAGCTGAGCAGCTGATAAGTCTCTTTACAAGCACTTAGGTGAATTCGATACACTAGGATGTTAAAAGTGTGGGTTAGGACAAAAGCAGGTGTCAAAACATAACCCTCTGCTCTTTCCACCACCTCAAAGGTTATCTCCCACATGTAAAATTACTTGTTTTTTGAACCTCACTTTTCCTTAATTCTTTTGTTCAGAAAGTCCATCTGATCCTTTTCAGGATTCATTTCCCCATTTCTGATCTTCTGCTTTTGTCTCCTATTTCCCTTCCTTGTTCTCTGCACATCATGATCCTTTTTCAGGCTGAGTCATTATCCTTTTAAATTCTCCTAGGAAGGGCTTTTTTCTCAGTCATGCTATTTCCTAGTCAAGTGGTGGCTGTAGGAAGATCAGAATAACCCATGCTAGGAAGAGCTCTGTGAATGGCGGTGCCTGTAAGACAAGCATACAAGTTGTATTGTTTGTTAACTGGAAATTCACTTTTATCCCCTATTCACTGGCTGTTTGGATAGACCCAAACCTCCACAGGGAGGAAAGAAAAACCCTTCATGACTCTTTTCAGAGACTGAAGATTAAAAATGACCCAGTCCAGTGTGTGTCTGCACTCTGAAAAGAATTTTCTTTATCCTGCAAGTCGTGTGGAGTCCACAGATAATATGGCTCCCTTTCTGCTCCAAAATCTGCACAAATCCTCCCCCTACCATGCCTACAGATGGAAATAGGAAATATTCCCTTGCCAGGCCTGCAGTAAAAAGCAATGTG